TCTCTCCAGTATCCAGCCTAATAGACACTTCCTCCCCACACCCCAGTCTCATCAAGAGATAATTAGCATGCAGCACTGTGAACGTTGAAGGTGTACAACAGACGGACTTAACCCGCATACATTGTGAAATGCTTACCACAATAAGTTTAGTTTACATGCATCCTCTCTATAGATACGAAAAGACAAAGAGAAAAACATGTTATTTTCCCTATGGTGACAAGAACTCTTAAGACCTATGCTTTTAACTTTCAGATACACCATACAGTGGTGTTAACTATTGTTGTCATCTTGTACATTACATCCCTAAAACTTATTTGTCTTATCACTGGGAGTTTGTATCTTTTGAACACCTTCATCCAATCCCCCATCCCCTCCCCTGTCTCTGGTAACCATACATCTGATCTCTTTTTCTATAAGTTTTGGTTTTTAGATTCTACATATAAGTGAAATCATTTAGTATTTGTCTTTCTCTGATTTATTTCACGTAACAGAATGCCCTCAAGGTTCATTCACGTTTCACAGATGGCAGGATTTCCTTTTTATGGCTGAATGATAATCCATTGTGTGTGTGCATGTGTATCACATTTTCTTTATCCATTCACCAGTCAATGGACACCTAGGTTATGTCCATGTCTTGGCTATTTTAAAGAATGCTGCTATGAACGTGGGGGTGCAGATATGTCTTTGACATAGTGTTTTCATTTCCTTTTGATATATTCCCAAAAATGGAATTGCTGGATCATAGGGTTGTTCTATTTAAAATTTTTAAAAATTTGTTATTATTATTATTGAAGTATAGTTGATATACCATATTATATTAGTTTCAGGTGTACAACATAGTGATTTGACAATTCTATACATTATTCAAAGTTCACCATGATAAGTGTAGTCACCATCTGTCACCATACAACATTATTACAATATTATTGACTATATTTCCTAGCTGTACTTTTCATCTCCATGATTTATTTTATAACTAGAAATTTGTACCTCTTAATCCCATTCACCTATTTTGCCACCCCCCCCACACACACACCTCCCTTTGGCAACCACCACCTTGTTTTCTGTATTTAAGAGTCTGTTTTTTGGTTTGTTTGTTCATTTGTTTTGTTTTTAGATTTGACCTATAAGTGAAATCATATAGTATTTGTCTTTCAGACTTCACTTTGCGTAATATCCTCTAGGTCCATCCATGTTGTTACAAATGGCAAGATTTCATTCTTTTTATGGCTGAGTAATATTCCATTGTGTATATATACCACATGTTCTTTATCCCTTCATCTGTTGACAGAAATTTAGGTGGCTTCCATATCTTGGCTACCGTAAATAATGCTGCAATAGACACAGGGGTGCATGTATCTTTTCGACCTAGTGTTTTTGTCTTCTTTGGGTAAATGCCCAGTAGTGGAATTACTGGATCCTATGGTATTTCTCTTTTTAATCTTTTGAAGAGCCTCCATCCTGTTCTCCACAGTGGGTGCCCCAGGTTACAATCCCCCTTTTCCCACATCCTCATCAGCATCTGTTATCTCTTGTCTTCTTGATGCTGGCCAATCTGACAGGTGTGAGGCGATACCTCATTGTGGTTTTGATTTGCATTTCCCTGATGATGAGTGATGTTAAGCACCTTTTCCATGTACCTGTTGACCATCTGTACATCTCTGGAAAAATGTCTCTTTGGGTCCTTTACCTGTTTTTAAATTAAACTTCTTGTTTTTTCGCTCTTGAGGTGCATGTGTTCTTTATATATTTTGGATATTAACCCCTTATCAGAAATTATTTGCAAATATTTTTTCCCATTCTGTAGGTTGTCTTTCTACTTTGCAGATGATTTCTTTTGCTGTGCAGAAGCTTTTTGCTTTGATGTAATCCTGCTTATTTTTTATTTTGTTGCTTGTGCTCTAGGTGTTAGATCCCAAAAATCATTGCTGAGTCCCATGTCAAGGAGCTTTTTTCCTATGTTTTCTTCTGGGTGTTTTATGGGTTCTGGCCTTACAGTGAAGTCCTTAAAGCATTTTGACTTAATTTTTGTGAGCGGTGTAAGATAGGAGTCTATAATGGACACTTTTGATAAAGATTTTTTTAAAAAAACACTAAACAGGTAAAGGGATGAATGAGGCCCTCAGAAGGACACTGAGAACAACAGTTCAGTTTGCCAAGATGGCCTCCTGGCAGACACCACAGTGCGTTCGGACAGTGGCCAGGGACAAGCAGAGAGGGCAAAATGTGTACCTGGCAAGGGGGCTGGAAGGCAGGACACAGTGGAGGAGGCAGTGGGCAATGGGCCTACCTCACTTGTTCATGCAACAGGCGTCTATTAGCCCACCTACCCTGTGGCGGACACCAATTACCTGGGATATATCAGCAGCAAACATGAATCCCCCCACGCCCGGGCAGCTGATATCCAGGGTATAATGTGTGGAGAGCAGCAATAGGCCCTGGAGGAACCTGGCCTAGGCATCCTCATGGCTGCATCTTCCTGGTGATGCATTTGTAATAATAATATTAATTGCAATAACAACAGCAGTTATATAGAGAACCTACTGGATTAGTCAAGACCACCTCAGTTTTAAGTCATAGAAACTCAACCTGAACTGGCTGAAGCCAATAAAACAGAGAAATTCGGTTTGTGTGTTAATTCCTAAAAATACCAGGGGTTAACTGGCTTCTGCCATGACCAGCTGCAGGAGCTCCAAAGACATCATTAGCATTCTGTGTCCTGCTCCACCTCTGGGCTCTGCTGTCTTCTGACATCATTCTCAAATGGCCAAATAGTAAAAATGGCCTCTGATAGCTCCAAGCTAATGATCTCAGCAAAGAGCAAGCACCTCTTTCCTTATTGTTCCAGAAACTCCAGGACACTGTGACAAGGACCACTCCCACTTGGGTCTCCTGCCCAGGCCTAAGCCAGTACTTGAGGTCAAAATTGGGATGTGTTGATTGGCCTGGGTCTGGTGACAGGCATGGGGCTGGCGTGGGGGACAGCCCTATATACTCAGTAGGGACTGAGAATGGAAGAGGGAGATTTTCAAGAGAGCAGGGCTGTACTTGGAAGAGGTGACATTGAACAGAGAGCATCAACAATGGTGTCTACGCCTACTATGTGCCAGGCACAAAACCAAGTGTCAGTTAAGCCTCTCAACAGTCCTCTGTGGTAAGACCATCCTTGTCCCCATTTTACAGGTGGGGAAAGTGGTGCGGAGAGGCTGAGCACCTTTGCAGCATCACCTACTAGTAAGTGGGGCATCAAGGAGCACAGACTCTTCTCTACCAGATGGAGGTTAGTGGGGCTCTTGAATACAGGGGGAGGTCAGAGAGGATTTGACAGATGAAACACAGTGAATGGCTGGCGGGGTTGGGGGGGTAAGATAAAGGGGAATGATCTGATGAATTTGGCACTGTCCCTGTCCCCCTACCTACTCCCCGTCCCAGGGCGATGCTGTAATGCATCTTTCTCTTGTCCCACGTTCTCTGCAACAGTGTAGTGCAGACCCTGGAGCCACGCTGCCTGTGCTCCCCAGGAAATGGAGCCTTTGGTTGGGGATTGAGTGCTGCTGACTTAGAGGGGGAACTGCGGGGCAAGAGGGAGGGAAAAAGAGAGGGGATGGAGGGGAGGATGGGAAGCAATACGAGGTGATGTGGAACCACGTGGTCACTGCTTTACGTGGGAAACGTGCCTCAAATGGTCCAAGGGAGGGAGGCGAGGGATCTGTCCTCCCACCTTGTCTCTACTGCTCAGAGTGCGTCCCTGAGAATGAACTCCCTCCATGCTTCAGGGGTGTGCTCTCTAGCCCCTTTGGTGGCCACGTGGGAGCCAGACCCTTTACACTGGGATGTGGCCCGGAAAGGGTCAGCCTGTGGGGAGACAGCTGGTCAGCTTCAGGGTGGAAGAATCCCCAGCAGAGGCAGAGCAAGAAGCCAGGAGTCTGGTGGACAGGGGAGCAGACAGAATCTGTAGAGGCAAGAGATGCACGTGATACCCCCGCATTTCGCATCTTATGATACACCTACGTCTCCGTGCCTCGGTTTCCCCCATAGTAAAATGGGGATAACAGCATCTCCCCTAGGGTTGTTGAGAAGACTTGAGATAATGCATGTGAAGTACTCAGCAGTGTCTGCACCACCACCACCACCCCGCCCCAGGAGGTGAACTGGACTGGCCGTGCGTTGACTTTGCCCGGAGAACTTGGGGAAAGCTTCATGAAGGGTGCGGTACTGGCTAAGCTGTATTAGCCAGGATTCTTTCAGGCTCAAATGAAGGAGAGGAAAGCGCAGAGGCGCATCTGGCTTTGGCACAGTTGGACCCAGGGATGGCTCTGAGTCCCTAGGGAGTTGACTCCTGTTGAGTTCACCGCATGTACACTTGACCTCCAAGGGCTGACCTCAGCAGAGAGACCAGGAGGGACAGATCTGGCTGAAGCACTTGTGAGAGGAGACGTGGGACTAAATCAGGGCTTACCAACTTGAACTCCTCCGACTACAGGGATGGGGCCATGATTTGTTAGTCCCACGCCAGAAAAAGAAAAAGCAAGTCTCTGGTTTGGGCTGGAGTGATTTCAACTCCAAATCTTCATACAAGCTTATTCCGTGATTATCAGCCCAGGTAGTTCTGGATGCGTCTTTGTGTGTTTGGGAAAGTCAATTCTGGCTTCACGAATGCAGTCTGTTTAGTAGATATAATCTCACAGGGTGGAATCCAAGTGGAAATAAATGACATGAAAAGATAAAGAACGTCCTGACCATCCCTCCCGGCAAGGACGTCCTTGAGCACCAGGGTTCCACGAGGCCCCTCCCCAAGCAGTCCCAGGTCGTTAAGAACACCCACACACCCGAGCTACATCATTGCCCTACTTGTGTTCCCGGTGCAAGCCAGAGGATCCCTCAGCCGTGTGACTTTGGACAAGTCATTCTACCCCTGTGACCCTTGGTCCCCTCAACTGTAAAATGAGACTGATGTCTAGGCACAAAAGTGGAAATGTATGCCTACACAAAGACTTGTGTTCAGTGTTCAAAACAGCTTTATTTGTAATAGTCACAGTCTGGAAATAGCCTAAATGTCCACCATCTGACAGATGGCTGAGCAAACTGGTACATCCCTACAGTGGAAGGTGTCTCAGTAGTAAGGCATGAAACTACTGAGGCGCACAGCATGGATGAATCTCAAAGACATGTTGAATCAAGCCAGACACACAAGAGTACACACTAAATGATAATATAAAATTCTAGAAAAGGCAAAATCAATCTCTACAACCAAGGCAGGTCCTAGGGGTTGTCCTGGAGCTTGAAATGTTCTCTATCTCTATGGCGGGGGTAGTGACAAGGGGGTACACATTTGATAAAACTTATGACTCGGGCACTTAAAATGGGTAGGTTTTATTGCATGTAAAGTTTATCTCAGAACTGATTTTTTTTTTTTTTTTTAATGAGACCAAAGAAAAATACTGCTCTATTAGGACCCTTTCTATGACAGAAACCCAACTCAGGATGATTTGAGCAAAAAAGAAATGCATTGGCTCATATAATGAGGTTAATCCAGAGGTGTATTTAGCTTCAGGCATGACTGGATCCAGGGGCTTACTGATGTCCAGACAGCATATTCTCTCCATCTATGTGCTTTTTCCTCTGTTGGCTTCGACCTCAAGTAGAGAACAGGATGGCCACCAGCAGCTCCATCAACCTGGCAAACCCCATGAAAAACAAATGCCTCTTTCCCCATAGTTGCTGCAAAACGTCCAAGAGGGAGTCTCCATGTCCATCCTGGGATCCATGCCTGCTTCTAAAGTCGGGGTGGGTGAGAGGTGATCCTCTGAAGGGGAAGAGGCATTATCAGGAGAAAGGGCCATGGACGCTGGGTAGGGAGAGCTGACAGTTGGCCATCACATTTCTCCACATCCTCAGGGGGTGGTGGTATCGCCCATTCCTACCTCCAGCCACCTCTACAGGGGCCAGGCATTAAGAACGGGCCCCAAACTCATTCAAGGCTCAAGTGTGCTTTTCTGTGACGTCACAGACCTGCCTGTTAGTTAGATACAAGAGTCAAAACAGAAAGCAAGCACTAATCTCTTCCCCACCAGCCAAGGCAAACAGAAGGCCCTTCCTGCCTGTGCTGGGCTGTCTGCACCCAAGGAGGCTGGCGCTGGAGGGAGGAGCACTCTGCCACAGCTACTCTGGCCCAGGCCCAGACAGAACCGCCTTGGAGTTGGCGTCCGGACTTGCAGGACGAATGTCAAGGAGGGGAAGGAGGCCTCCGTGGGCTCTGGGTCTCGGCGGGCCTGACCTGAGAGGAATGCAGCATCTCAAGCCAGAGCCACCATCCCTCCAGGGTCTGGCCAGGGCAGGAGGGCCAGAGAGGAAGCAGAAGGAAAGGTCATCTTAGTAGAGTTAAGGACGGAAGGCACCATCCAATACACTGAGACCCAAACCTTACTTCCTGAGCAGTGCAACTACATTAAGGGAGCATCTTCTCCATGCCAGACACCTCCCAGGGTTCTCTGTTGAAGTGTCCTCCTGGAAGGGGCGAGAAAGGGAGCAACGACTTCATATGTGTATTCAGAAGCCTTATATTCAGACACATTTCTACAGGGTACTATTATGCCTACCAACCAAATGAGGCAACAGACACAGTAGTGGGGGGCTTTACCCAGGGCCCCCAGCTAAATAACTGCCCCTGATCAGACTCCTGGGCAAAGACCTGTCCCTCCCCACTCCCCAGCTCCAGGAGCTCAAAGCTCAGGCCTCAGCCTCATCGCTCTAGGCTGGGAGTTGAGCTGAGGTTATTTTTGACCCAGGTAAGCCAAGGCAGCTTAGGGCCATCTCCCAACCCAGTCCCCCAAGGAGCATGGGCAAGAAAAGCCTGAGCTGAGATCCACCGCCCTGTTTCCCACCAAGGTGCTGGCTGAGTCTGCCTGCCCAACCATCCTGTTTTCTGGGAAGCAGGTTAAATGGATGTCATTGCCAAGAGTGGGCAGTCTGCTGCAAAATAGCTGGTGGGGGGCAGGGGGAGAGCCAGACTAGAGCCAAGGCCAACAAGGGAGGGCGTGGCCGAGGCTCAGGCCCTCATTGCCCAAGAAAGCCCGTGGGCCTGGCCCAGAGCTGCTGGGCTCTGGGAAAGTAGTGTTCTCAGCTCCAGGCTCCACCCATCATGTTTGAGGCTGGCTGGCCCTCCAGCTCTGCAGACTGGCCCAGGAACAGCCGACTGCTTCCTGAAGCTCACAATGGGCCCGCCCATGAGTTCCCTGCATTGGCAGCCTGCCCAGGTGGCCCTCCAGCCAGGCTCTTGGAGGCTAGCTCTGTAGGAAAGAGGGAGGGGCAGGGACAGCCTTCTGGAGACCTAGGCACCCCCAGCAGGGGTCCTGACCCTGAGGCCTGCCAGCTCAGAGCGGGGCCCAGATGAGCAAGCCCCATGCAGGCTGGGCTCCTTCCTGGACACCTCTATCCAGGCAAGGAGCAGGGAACCAGGGGCCTCTGCCAACCCCCCAGCTGCGCCTAGGCCACGCCTCTGGTGTGTTCTGAAAATGGGGTTAAATCTTGCCCTGCCCAGAACTTGGATCCCAGGCCACATGGCAGGCTGAATGGGGGCAGCTGTGGGCGCATGCCATCCAGGTGCACACTCACATCAGGAAGACCCAGGGACAGGAACCCAGCCTCCCTGGGGTGCAGATACCTCCTCCATGAGACAGTAGCACCCACCCACTCACCTCCGGTTACTAGATGACCAAAGGCTTCAGTATTAGTAAGCATCATGATATGCTTGTTAGGACCATATGCTCATTATAAGTAATTATTACCGAAACACTGGCCTCAGGAGCCAGAAGCTACAGCGCTGAACCCCAGCTCTGCCACATCCTAGCTGCGTCTTCCAGGGGGTCTCCTGATCACTTGTGCCTCAGCCCATCCTATACAATGGAGATCCAAAGAGGACTCTGAGCGGCAGAGGAAGTATCAGACATGAAATTCGGCCAGTTGCCAATGGTCACCTCTCCTCGAGCAGACTCTGAAGGCAGAGCCGCAAGAATCTTCCAGCTCTAACGTGTGGCCACGTAGCGGAGAGTTCTCCCGAGGAACAGCAGACAGAGACACCAGTCCCTAGGTGCACTCTGTCCCCCATCCCTGGCAACCGCAGGTCCAACCTGCCTTTCTGGGGAGGAGGGACAGGCACTGACATTTGTAGAAGGCTCCCCAGATTCTTAGTGTCACCAGAGTCTAGAAGCAGTGCCGCAGCTCACTTGGAGATCCAACAGGACAAAGCCTGCAGTTCCAGCCTCCTCACCAACTTCATCAATCTTGGTTCAGAAGAGAGACCTAGTGTGGCTCCAATACCCGCCGCCCGCCTGAGAGTTCTGAGCTTCCCGGCTGCAGGCGATTGGCCCTTCCCACTTGGCAGAAAGAAAAGAGAGACTCTGGCTCCCAAGGGCCATGGCTCAAATGGGTTATAAGCCTCACGCCTTTTAAAAGCCCCAATCCTGCTAACTGGGCGGGGGTGTTATGCACGTAGGGGAAAAGTGCTGGAAGGATCTATTTCATTAGCAGACATTATCTCTAGGCATGGGCATTTTTATAAGCCTTTTCATCCTTCTGTATTTTGAAATGCTCTACGGTGGAAGGCGGTTCTTTTATAGTTGGGGGAGAAAACAGTACTCAGCTTTATTTTTCATGTAGGACCTTTTTAAAAAAAATTGATTATTTTTTTTTTTTTTGGCAAGTGTTTTGTGTAAAGAAGGAGGAACACAGGAATAAGGAGGTTTGTGGGGGATGGAAGGGCAGGGCAAAGGGGCCTCAGGGAGGAACAACTGATTTAAAGTTAGCAAACACTTAGCTATGAGGAATGACCAAGCACCCTAGGACCATCGTAGGTGGTGGAATCTCATTTCGCAAAAGCCCCATCCACCTCTTACCAAGCAGTGAGAAACATCACTCTGTACCCTGCCCCCCACCCCCAACCTCAGGTGAACCTTTACCTTGACGCTGTCCCTTCTCCTGGGCAGAAGAATGCTGAGGCTCCTGAGCAAACCCAGCCCTTTAAAAATGGTCTCTGGGAAAGCTGGTGTGGAGGCCCAGCTAGGAGGACGAGAGCCTAGGGAGCAAGGGGCCAGGCTGGCCGGAAGGATGATCATGCGGTCAGGGTCCTGCAAACAGCCATCTTCTCTGGTGACAGGAGCTTGTGAGTCTGCACCTGGAAACCCAAGAAATACCTAGAGGATTAATTTCCCTTGCTGACCTTGTGGACCCCAGGAGCTCAGAGTCCTGCTTGCTGCCTGTTCATCTCCCTGTCTATCCATGCATGGGCAGGCCACCTGCTCAGCCTCAGCAGGGGGTGGGGGGGGAGACTCTGTTGCTTTGGTATCTAGGGACATTCTTGTGAACTGGCGTTCCTGCGCTGAGGGGGACATAGCATAAATTTGGTATTTCTTCTTGACAACCCCCCAGCAAGCAACCCTAACTCCACTCAAGACAAGGCCTTGGCTCAGCCAACATATCTGTGGGGAGGGCTGGAAAAGGGGAGGGTGGGGGCATCTGCTGGGAAGTAAGGAGCCCCAGAAGGTGAAACTGGGATAGAGAACATCCAGCCAAGAAAAAGCAAGCTCCCGGGGCACAGCGGGGGTTGGTGGGGAGAAGCCCTCTCAATCCACCGGGGAGTGTATTTTCAAAATGGTGCTCAGGGAGTGAGCTGGGCTCCCTCTGTTTTAAAACATAGTACAACTTCCTGCCCCTAAACAGTTCCAACTTCTCAGGAGAGGTGAGTATCCAGGCAAGCCCAACACTGCTGCTCTTGACATAACTGGCCCAAAAGGCGCCCATCCTTGGGCCCCACACATGCAGCCGGGCTCCCGGAACCTTCACCGCACACAAACTGGGGAGACTCTGTATTCTCCTGAGTTCTAATCTGCGCAGGACTATCTCAATGCTCAGCCTTCCCTAATCCTCCACAAAAAAAAAAAAAAAAAATTGTAAAAATATATGCAAATCAACGCACCGTCCCAACAGAATTGTTTTAATAATACCCTCTCGTTTCAAGAGGATGGAGGAGGACATCCCAATCGGCCCCCAGGAAGCCCTTCCTGTACCAGAGCGGCCAGGTGGGTGAGGAGGGGTGGCTTGGCGGCCCGATGCACACTGCAAGAACAATAAGGATTTTTAGGGGCATTATGACTGAGTCAGAAAACACAGCTGCCCCTGAAAGTCCCTCATTTTTCTTGCTGTCCTTGAACACTCTCCAGGTAAGTAAGCAGTCCACCGGCTGGCCCAGGGGAGCCAAGGTGGAGATGGCTGACCCTCACCTGACCCTGGCCCACCACCCTCTGGCCCCTGAAGGCTCTGTGGCGGGTAGGGTAGCTGCTGGGTCCCACGGTGGCACGACTCTCCCCCAGGTGTGGCCTGGCGGGTGGCCAGGCTCACTGCCCCACAGCATGCCCAGGAATGAGCAGCCTTTGCTCACCCCGAGCCAACTCTAAACCCAGGGCTTTCTGCCCCCGGAGAGCGGTGGGCCAGAATGCACAGGAATCCCAAGTGGCCGAGTGCAGTCCCAAGAACCAGGGAATGTGGTAAGACCTGGAAGAAGGGTCATCTACCTGGCCCTTGTCGTCCCCTGTGGGGTGTGGACCCATCTTGTGGAGATTGAGCTCCTGACAAGCGAGGGAAAGTCACAGGCCTGACATGGGATGGGAACGTGCAATGGGTACACAGGCAAGTCAGCTCCAGACTTCCTGGGAGGCCAGGCTGGGTGCAGGTAGAGAGGAGAGTATGGGGTGGGGGGCGGTCATAGCGGCTTGACTCCTAAAATGGGCCCAATAGGAACTAAGTTCCCACCATCTCTCCCTTTCCAGAGGCAGTAAGAGAATTTCAGCTCTCTTCTAGGAACCAAAGGGTCAGCTCCTAAAAAGCCAACGGTCACTGGCCCTCTGTCCCTGGTGGGAGGCAAGAGGGTGCAGCGTGTGAGACCCAGCACGCAGTGGGGGGAGCTGCTGTGTGAACAGGGATCTCTGTGCAGCCTTCCCCTGCTCTAGCACTTTCTGCCCACTTCCTCGGAGGTGGGTTCTGGAAGAGGCAACAGCGTCAGGCAGGCCCGAGTCAGGAACACAGGTCCCCGAGCCCTACAAACACACCCTATGATGGGCAAAGACAGCTGGTATGTCCCAGATGGTTTTCAGGTTCGATCAACCAGCTGACAGGCTCTGCTGGGAAGTGCAGGTGGGCAGAAACGGGCGGTGAGGTGAGGGGATGGTCAGAAAGTGGCCAAGAAGAAAGGCGAGAGGATGGTGACCCCTTTCTTTTCTTATGGGAGGATGAAAAGGGCTTCCAGAATCAGAGCCTGGTTTACAGAAGGATGAGCCCTTCTCCCCACTCCCCCCAGTCTGGGCAGGCCTCTGGGGTGGCAGAGGCTCCCCTCCACAGACCCTGGGCTTTTGACTCCTCGGAACCTCGTGGTGCAGAATGCCACCCACCCATGGCTAACTTGTGCCCTGAAGCCAGGCCATCCCAGCCAGGGTCCCAGCTCAGCTGGAACCTACCCCAGCCTGACACAGCACACACCCCTCGGGGGCCTGTCACCAGTTGTGCTGTGTGGCCCCGCTGTGGTGAAAACAGACCCGGTGGCATGCTCTGGTTAGTTGCTGTGTGACCGGGTTTAAGTTACCTAGCTTCTCTGTGCCTTGCCTTCCACATCTGTGAACAGGAATAAGCAGCCCACTTTGCGGGGTGGTATAAGGACCGAAGGGAAGTATACAAAGCACTTAGCAGGTTCCTGACAGAAGTTTATCACTCTCTCCAAGCAGTTTCCCCCTTCCCCTCAGACCCCAAGGGCGGGGGCTGGGCCAGGACCCCCTGGAAGTTGCCAAAGACTCATGTCTTGGAGAATTCCCCCCTGCTGGGAAGAGCAACCGGGATGGAGGTCTGGGCACAGACCTGGCTGCCCAGGGAGCACGACAGCCGTGCCTTCGCCCCACACCACAGGTCCTTCCTTGTTCTGACCGAGAGGAAGTGTGCCCAGAAACCCAGCCGCCGGGCCATGGCCTCACCCTCGCCCGACTATGTTATGACAACTGTCCTCTTGCCCACAGCCTTCTGCCCTAACCAACATCACAGCCACACGCTCCTCCGGCAAAACCCAAGCTGTCCCCCACACCCGAGGACCGAAGCCATCTGAACCATCTGATGCCACGACTGCATCGGGCTTGGCCCGCTCAGAAGCTCCAGCCTGCAGTTTGCACAACTTCTGTGTGAGCTGGTCCCGCCGCCTGGGGTGCCCTGGCTCCACGGCGGATGGAGCGAGAGGGTGAAACCAGCTCCCAGCTTCGCAGCCACAGAAGCTTTGCTGGGCTATCCAACCCCTCTGCGCTTCAGTCGGCTCCTCTGCGAGATCCGGGTAACTACCTGTTTCAGGGGCGGCTGGGAGGATTGAAGTTTGTGCCCATCAAAGGCTTAGAACTCTGCCTGGCACAAAGCATTCCATCGAGGTGAGCCATCCTGACCCACCCCCTGCTGTGTTCTTCTAGACTCAGCTTCTCTCTTCTGGGCGACCTTTCCTGCCCCCGGCCACGTTCTTTCTTTCTTCCTGCTCCCCCTGGGCCCCTGCTTGTGAAGCTGCTTTACCTACTGGCCCCTGGCAGCGCAATCCTAAAACCACATACATCCCAGTCACTCGCACGCATCACCAATGGTGGCTCTGGGGGCCCAGTCTGCATCGCAGACAGGCTCCTTGTGTGATGCTCGGGGACACCCGAGCTTAAGAACCACCGCTTAGGCCATCCACGCACCATGGGGCAGGCAGTGGGGTCAGGGTGGGGGGCTGCCCTGCGTCGTGGCCAGAGGACGCCCCCCAGCCATGCTAGGCACGTGAAAGTGACCCACTTGGGCATGGCTGACAGCGGAGCTCACCCATTCCTGGTCCTCGGGCCTTCCCTGAGCCTGGCCTGTGCTGATCACACATTGATGACCAGGGGCCTGCGCCACCCCCACCCCGCTGCTGGGGGCTGAAAAGCCATCCAGGCTCTCAGACAAGCTGCAGAGTGAAGAGCTCCACGCTGAATGTGGCGTCCCTAAAATAGCCAGCAACCCACAAAACCATGGTGGAAGGAAAAAGAAAAGCCAACCAAGAGTTATCATCAGCCCTTGTTTGGAATTTGCTTTAGAAAGAAAAGTATGTGCCAGTCCCACCCTGACGAGGGAAGGAAGTGGTCAGGAAGAGGGCAACAGTCCTGAAATGTCTTGGGGGAACCCCTCCTCTGGAGAAGCTACTGAGCACACAGACAGGGATGCTGGGGCCCAAGGCAGGGATTGGCTGAGGCAGTCTGGCCCTGGGGCCTGGAGAGGCCAAGCACGCTTCAAGTCAGGGGACAATCTTCCCTGGCAGAGCAAGCTGGGTCAGGCCAGGTGGAGGGATGCTGGTGCTCCAACTTAGGGGAGTGGGCTCTGCAGGCCCTCCTTCCAGCACCTACCCAGTCAGCCCCAGGACAGCTGCTCTGGAGGTGGGAGCCTGAGGGCTCCACTGGACCAGAGCCTCTGCTGCAGCAGAAAGCCGCCTTGGACTCGCTGGCCCCATCGCCCTTGCTGGCTGTTCACAGGCTGGGATGAACAAAGCCAGGAGACCTGAAACTCATCCATCAGAGTCCCTGGGTTTATGATAACCCATCTCTCTCAGCCAGAAATTCTTTTGCTAAGAACACCTCAGCTCCTAAATGCTTACACTCACCCCTTCAGCTCCCCACGCCCCCCCAAACTCTCCAGCCCTGCCTGGCCTGATGCCGATTGGCCAGTGTGCCTTGGGGTTGGCTCGGCTCCCCCCCCGCCCCCCCCAGCCAAAAAAACAACTCATCAGTGAGTGGAGGTCCAAGTGCCCCTGGGCAAGGCTGGCCCGGGGCCTAAATGCATCTGTCCACACAAATACCCACTGCTGCTAATGAGGCTGGTCCGGGGAGGCAGCGCCCTCCTCTCGTCCACAGCTCCAGACCATCTGGAGGAGCCAAAGGCAGGCGTGGGTTGGCCGTCAGAGCCACAACTTTTCTCTCTTTAAGGGAGACTCCATGGGGGAGGGAAACAAGACAAGCAGAGAAGGCATGCAGACAGCTCAGCTAACAGTATGGAAAAGAAGAGTCTCCCTTTAAAGATGCATTTATCCTTCTCACGGGAGTTGGCGGACTGTGGGCCCGTGGGCCAAACCAGACCACCTCTTGTTTT